AAGAAGAAGAAGAAGAAGAAGAAGAAGAAGAAGAAGAAGAAGAAGAAGAAAAGTAGTGATAGCCTATAGAAAAGAAGCTATAAAGAATAGATTGACCATCCAGCTGGCAATTGAAATGGTTTTGGGAGATCTTTACAGCAGGCTCTCATTCCATCTGTCAATTGAATATCCTTGCCATATTCATTTACTATGACACCAGAGCAACCACTAGAGCATCAACTAGGGAAACCTTAAGAAGGCTTGGAAAAAAAACATAGCATTTGTTTGCCAAGGGTCTTTTAACTAATCCCAGCAAATTCCATTCAGAGGGGATGGTTTTAGTAAACACCTCTGAGTAGGAAAAAATGATAACAGGCAATTACCACTGAAAAGGTTTCAACTGCTTGAACAAAAGCTTTAGCAGTGAAAGCTTTACCTCTTAAGATTTGGCATGGATTGTGAGAAGTCAGTCTCTGGGGAGGGAATGCGGGGCGGGGGTGGGGGGGGACAGGCTGTATCTGAAACTAAATCACTTCTTCTTCATCTGCCAATAGCTTTATCTTCTTCCTGACGGATTTTTGTTTTTACACTGAAGGAAATCTGGTTGGATTCAGATTTAGCCATACTTAGAATAAACCTTCTGAAATACATGTATCTCAAACTATTGCCAATAGATCTATTGACTAAATGTGAATTTCCACTTAATAATAAAAAAGCAGGCACTGTGCTATCCAGTCCATCTTGTTTTCAATGGAAACAATCAGAAGCATTTAGGAAGATTGCTAGCAGTCCTTATACCAGGGGTCTCCAACCTTGGCAACTTTAAGACCCATGGACTTCAACTCCCAGAATTCTGGGAATTGAAGTTCACAAGTCTTAAAGTTGCCAAGGTTGGAGGCCCCTGCTCTACACACATCTCTTCATATCTCTCTTCACATACCTCATATACCCATAAATGGAGCTGGCATTTTGAGGAATTCTTCCTCAGATATTGGAGGTAATGTACAGCTCTCATAACAAGAAAAGCTGCCCTCCAAGAATTTATTTCTATTTAAAACTGATGTTAGTTGCTCATCTAAATGTAATGTAATTCTCTAATCAAGAAGTTAATCTGCAAAGTTATTCCCCTTTATAAATGGTTAATTGCCTTTGCTGGCAAGGCTGGACCTTTCCTTGTATTGTGGCATTATGTTCTTTCCAAGGATACTCTACCTCCTAATTCTCTTGGATTTACCTCTTAAAAAGCTTCTTCTAGATCCCTGAAGTTGGCAAACAGCTTTTAGAGTTGTATAGATATTGGTGGCCTCTACCTTCTCTCATATCACAGAAGCTCCAATCTGGCCTAAGTGCCTCTTTTTCTTGGATTTGAGCCAGAAAGGAGGTCAGCCCAGAAGTAAGCACACTTTCCCCTCTAGTCAGTGTCACTGAGAGCTGAAATAAATAAATAGATTAACAAGCAATAAATAAATGAATAAATACTCAACTGAGTGGGAAAAGAGCTGTAAAAAAACTCTCTCTCAATTTGCATCCTGATAGAAGCAAACTGGTAGATTTATATTGCAGCCATTTTTCTGCCATGGATTCTTTCTTTGTGCCCCTTATCTCCCCAAGAGAGTGCAGCTCTCTTTGCCCCTGGGCTGTGGAAATATTCACTCAAAAGGATTAGCCGAGATACCCTAGGCCTTGTGTCTGACTAAAATGAGCAAGGACCTTGGACAGTGGATAAGCTGTTAGAGGTGGATTATGCCTTAACCAAAAGAACAAGGACCCTTCTTATTCGTGAATCCATGCAGGTCAAACTAAAAGACTGTAAATTAACTGATATAGTTTATTGTAGTCTGTAATAATATCTTCAGCGTTGCTTAAGCAGGTCTCTGGGAGCATGGATATATAATGCATATGGGTAAGCATCTGTTTCTAGTATAATTTCATCTATGAATATATGCCCTATGAAAAATAGTAATACCATAAAACACATCACATCACATAGAGTTTAATCAATTTGAGCATTCCTTAATCCAGCTTAACAAATCATTTCATTTTTCCACTATTGGAAATCTGGACTCCTTTTTTATAGTCAGGACTAGTTTATTTTGTTACTTGGGCAAGTAAAAATGTATTCGCTCTTCTCCATGCAAAGGCAACGTAAGATAGATTTGCATCATTATTAAGAATAATGAAGATTTTTGCCCTCTAGGGAAAATATAAAAGCATTTTTTAAATGATGACATCCTAAATAATTACATTAAAATATTTGGAAATATTCTAATACTAAGAGAGAACTGTTTTTATAAGACTACTGCTGCTATACAAATCTCTTGCCTTCTTATATATCTCACTATTCACTGTGGATTAAAATAATATATGGTAAGAACCACCAATTAACAATGCTATCTTATTCAAGAAAGAAACTGCTCTAGCTATGGCAAAGTATCGATTGAAATCCATGTTATAATCACAAGCCCTTCTAGTTATTGGGGCGAGTGAAGTCTCTGGTTGAACCTACAAGCTATTTGGTACAAAGTAATTTTCCCAGCCTGATTATTAGAATGCTGGGAGCTGCTGTAGTTAGAGTTGATATGATATGAAAGTTTGGCTTTCTAGGATCCTTCCACCCATAAATTGTAAGGGCCATGCAATGTTTGCACTGTATTGGTAGAAAGCACTCAGTCAGTGGAGGACAACTTTTAAGGTGGATGGATTCAGTTACAGTGGCAATGAATGCACCATTAGAAGACCTAAAGAACCAAGTTAGAGAAAGACAACCAGCTAAATATGAGCCAACAGTGTGCAGCAGCCGCTAAAAAAGCTAATGCTATGCATTAACAGAGGGAGACAATCAAGTCAATCATTAACAATCAAGATCAAGTGAGATACTAATGCCGTTCTACAAAGCTTTAGTAAGACAACACCTAGAGTACTGCATCCAGTTTTGGTCACTACACTAGAAAAAAGATGTTGAAACACTAGAAAAAGTACAGAGAAGAGCAACCAGGATGATTAGGGGACTGGAGACTAAAACATATGACGAACAGTCACAGGAACTGGACATGGCTAGTCTAGTGAAGAGAAGGACCAGGGAAGACATAATAACAGTCTTCCAATATTTGAGGGGCTACCACAGAGAGAAAGGGGTCAAACTATACTCTAAAGCCCCTGTATGCCAGATAAGGAACCTGGAAATAAGGAGAAACTTTCTGATAGTGAGAACAATCAATCAGTGGAACAGCTTGCCCACGGAAGTCATGGGAGCGTCATCACTTGAGACTTTCAAGAAGAGATTGGATTCCCATCTGTCAGAAATGGTGTAGGGTCTCCTGCTTGGGTAGGGAGTTGGACTAGATGACCTACAAGGGAAGCCTTTTGGAAAGCTGTTGTTTAATCTTCATGCCTTATGTTGTCCCCCATTATAATCTGAAAAGGCCTATCATTCAACATGTTATAGAAGGAGGAGAAGGAGGAGGAGAAGGAGGAGGAAGGAGAAGGAGAAGGAGAAGGAGAAGAAGAAGAAGAAGAAGAAGAAGAAGAAGAAGAAGAAGAAGAAG